TGGAGTGCAGTAGCATGCTCACAGCCACTGCAGTCTCGACCTGCTGGGCTCAGGCAATCCTTCTGCCTCAGCCTTCCAAGTAGCTGGAACCACAGGTATGTGCCACCACGACGAGTTAATTTTTTGATTTATTGTAGAGACAAGGCTTTGCCAAGTTGCCCAGGTTGGTCTTGAATCCCTGAGCTCAGGCAACCCTCTCACCTTGACCTCCCAAAGTGCTAGGATTACACGCTTGAGCCACTGTGCCCGGCTCATGCTGCGTGTGTTTTTATAATAACTGCTATATAAAAGCCATCATTCCATCCCCATCTTCTGAGCCTTGCTACCTATGTGCGACATGAAGCATGCGGCCTTCCTGCAGACTGACGCCGGTGGTGCCAGTTCATGCGCTGCGTGAACACACCACAGTCCCACAGTGCATGCTGGGCACTTTCCTACGGACATTCAGCTCCTCTCCCGAGGCACACGTGAGTCAGAGAGCAGTGATCTCCACGCTGGATGAGAACGTGCCATCCTGGTTTCCACAGCGGCTGTCCCATCTGTGCTCTCAAGAGCAGAGTCTGAGCGCTCCCACTGCCCCCGTCCTCGCCTTGGTGTCTCTAGGTCTCTGAAGTGCGGCCCGTCAAGTGGGCAGGCGGTGGTGGCTCCCTGTGGTTTGCCCGGCTCCCACTTACTCTTGACATCCAGCTGGGCGGCATACTTGGTGAAGCCCTTCAGGCAGACCTTCTCGCCCACGAGGGAGAGGAATTCCTCAAAGGCCGGGCCCGCCTCCTCATTGTTGTACATCTCCTCTTCCGAGCTCTGGCCTGTCTTGCAGTAGAGGATGCCCACCTTGTGTTTCCGGCACAGCTGCAGAGGCAAGAGCAGCTTTAGGGAGGCGACAGCGGCGTCAGAGGGAACGGGGCCAAGGGGTATGCATGAGGCGTTCAGCCCTGGGAGCTGCTGGGACCACTTGGGAATCCAGAGCCACAGCCAGACAGGAACCAAAAAGGCACCGGTGGTCCACCTCCCTCCCTCACGTTCCAGAGAGGCATAACAAGGCCATGCTGCCTGTTCTCCTGTGGCAGGCAGAACGTGGCTGGTGATGGCGTTCATGAGTGAAAGTCTGTCGCTCTGGCTGGCTTCCCACAGGTGGGCTGGGACTGGCTGGGCTGAGACTTTGCAAAAGCAAACTCTCGGTGGGTGCAGTGGCGTATGCCTGCAATCCCAGCACTTTGAGAGGCCAAGGTGGGAGGACTGCTTGAGGCCAGGAGTTTAAGACCAGCCTAGGCAACACAGTGAGATCCTCATCTCTACCAAAAATAAAAAAAAATTAGATGGGTGTGGTGGCACACGCCTCTTGTCTCAGCCACATGGGGGTTGCTTGAGCCCAGGAGTTTGAGGCTGCAATGAGCTGTGATCGTACCACTGAACTCCAGCCTGGGCAACAGAGCAAGATCATGGCTCCAAAAAAAAAAATAAAAAAAAATTAGGTATCTGATTCTCCTAGCCACAGGTGACTAGGTCATGGGCTGCCAATCAGTGGCTCTCCTGTGACTGAGTGTCAGCTAGCTGGGGTCTGCATGTGGCTGTAATTCTAACAGCAACTGGGATCTGTGGGAGAGGTCAGGGAAGCAGGGGAGTCAACATGTAGAGAAAGGGAGGAAAGACACACATTTTCTCTCTCTCTACCTCTGTCACATAAACACACACACACACACACACACACACACACATACACTAACCTGTCCATACCTAGTGGCTATCTTATTTCCAGAGTATTTCTCTGCCAAAATTCAACTACATTCCTGGTACCCCTAGGATTAGATAGTAGATCCCTCTTTTTGCTGAAACTAGCTTAAGCGGGTTTCTACTACTTGCAAAAAAAAAAAAAAAGCGAGCAAGACAGAAAAAGACACCAGGAGTGGGGTTGCAAGCTACTCCCCTGCAGCCCCCACCTTAATCCCCTGGCTCACCCCTTGCTCATCGAGTTTCAGCAGCTGCTCTGTGACCTTGGGAGTGTTGAGGGCCAGACGCAGGCAGTGGATGTTGAGCTCGGGGATGACATACTCCAGGGCGTCCTTCAGGGGCAGACCCCGCCCGGTCCCGTGCTTGGTGGCTGTGGGCGTGGCATCTTCCAGGATGGAGCCCCGCAGGGTGATGAGCTGCTCAAGGGAGAGAAGGGAAGGTTAGGAGGCTCTCAGAACCTGGAAAGGGATTTGAGCGTACCAAGGGGGCTCCCTGTTTGCAGAGACATGTGTGAGGGTTAGCAGTTTATGCTCTAAGGCCAGAAAGCCCAGGGTCTGAGCCAGGACTCGAGCTTGCTGCCTTCTGGCTGTGTGATCTTGACAAAGTGACTTCCTATCTCTGAGCATCATTGTCCCCTTCTGTGAAATGGGTACAGGATCGTATCATAACCCTGAAGGGGTTTGGGGAGGATTAAATGAGAAAGTGAATGTAAAATACTTGTTCACAGCCGGGCTCGGTGGCTCAGCCTGTAATCCCATGCCTTTGGGAGGCTGAGGCGAGTGGATTGCCTGAGCCCGCGGGCTCAAGATCTGCCTGGGGCAGCGAGACCTCATCTCTACAATAAATCAAAAAAACAGCCGGGCGTGGTAGCGCATACCTGTAATTCCGGCTACTCGGAAGGATCATCGGAGCCCAGCAGGTCGAGGCTGTGGTGGCCGGAAGTGGCCACTGCACTCCAGTCTGGGTGACAGAGTGAGACTCCAACTCAAAAAAAAAAAATACTTGTTCACTTGTTCAACACATATTGGCCGAGTGCCTCCTGTGAAGCACTGAGTCCTGTGCCAGATGCAGGAAGCAAAACCCCTGTCCTTGTGGAGCTGACATTTGAGTGGGGAATGGATCATGTTGGGTAGCAGGAGGTCTAATGAACAGGTTCCACTGGGAGGTCGGCTCTCTTTGTCACTGTCACAATGACATTGCATTATAAACATGTTACCATGAACGCTCATGTAAAATACCTGCCTCCCCTGGACAGTGGCTCCATCTTGGATCTTGAACTGTGGCAGTGGTTTTCAGCCAGTTTCATTAAAAAAACTACTACCATCCGGGATCAGTGGCTCAGCCCGTAATCCCGCGCCTTGGGAGGCTGAGGTGAGTGGATTGCCTGAGCCCGCGGGTTCGAGACCCGTCTGGGCAACTTGGTGAGACCTCATCTCTACAATAAATCAAAAACTTAGCCGGGCATGGTAGCGCGCGCCTGTAATTCCAGCTGCTCGGAAGGCTGAGGTGGAAGGATCGCTGGAGCCCAGCAGGTCGAGGCTGCGGTGGCCGGGAGCGGCCACTGCACTCCAGTCTGGGCGACGGAGTGAGACTCTGACCCCCCCCCCCAAAAAAACACACCAAAAAAACCCAAAACAAAAGCCACTACCAGTGATTTTAATTTGGTTGGTCTGGGGTGGGGTCAGACATGCATACACGTTTGTATATATGAGGAAGAAAAAAAAACCCAGAAATTATTTATTAAAAATTGTATATTTATTTATTTATTTTTTAAAAAAACCAGGATTTATTGAGAGGACAGAAAAGCACCCACAGTGGGAGGGGACCCGAGGGGGTTGCCCTGTATGTTTATTCTTATATGGTTAAACTTCAGTCACCTTTGAAGTACTCTCTGTTTGATGCAGTACAACCTATCAAGATGTTTTTTCTTTCTTTTTTTTGAGTCGGAGTCTTACTCTGTCGCCCAGACTGGAGTGCAGGGGCCGCTCCCGGCCACCGCAGCCTCGACCTGCTGGGTTCCGGCGACCCTTCCGCCTCAGCCTTCCGAGTAGCCGGAATTACAGGCATGAGCTACCACGCCTGGATGATTTTTAAAAAAAATTTATCGTAGAGACAAGGTCTCGCCAAGTTGCCCGGGTGGGTCTCGAACCCGCAGGCTCAGGCCATCCACTCACCTCAGCCTCCCAAAGTGCTGAGATTACAGGCTGAGAGCCACGAAGCCCGGCACAAGATACTTTTCCCACTGCTCAGAGAAACTTTTGAACTCGTCCGTTTCGATGCCTTTTACCGCTTCTGCCGTTTATTGTGTCACCTCTTCCACATCAGCAACAAGTTTCCCTTTGAGGATTTTTAGTGCGGGGAAACAATAAAAAAGTTGCTCAGCTCAAGACGGGGTAGGGAGGGTGGAGCACGGGGGGTCATGCCTTTTTGGGCCAAAAACTGCTGAACACTCAGCACGGTGTGGGCAGGTTGTTTGTGCAAATCGCCTATCAGGAAATAGGCAGACATGGTGAAAGGATCTCCAGAAAAATTTGCCGAAGCTGAATGCAGCCTCTTACAACAACACTGGCTGGTAAACTCATACTCACCTCGTGGGGGATGCCTGTATATACTATGAGGGGCCTGCCCTCCAAAAAGTAATTCCTTTTTTCAGGTCCCCTCCTCACTTGGTATGTTTTTAATCCATCTTAGGTGATTCTGCTATACAATCAGGGCTGAAAACCCAGTCGAAGCCAATCATGGCCACTTCATTCCTGTCCCCCAGGTGTTGCTTTCCAAACTTTTCCTATAGTCAGCCATGTAATCAATTCCAGGCAATAAGATATAAGGGGAATTCTGCCTGGTGAGAACTTCGGCAAAGATTTCCCTCTCTGATAAAACAAAATCTCTTTTCTACCTGCCCATTTCTTTGGGCTAGGAACAGTGGTGTGAGGGTAAGATGTTTGGAGCTGTGGCAGCCATCTTGTGATCATGAGGAAATAGGCAACGAAAAGTCACAGAAGTGTAAGTTGATCCCTCCAAACTTATTCGATTATTAAAACAATCCCTTATTTTTTTTTAAGCTATGTTTAGTCAGGTTTTCTGTTACTTTACAGCAAAAGAAATTTTTAGCTGACATACCTTAATAACAAGTCATATTTATGAAGTTCACTGTAATGTAGTCTAAGTACTATGGCAAATGTCTAATTGTATGCATAGGTCTGTTCACAGGAGGTTTTATCCTTGTTTTACAGATGAGGAAATTAAAGCTCCAAAAGGTTAGCTGCCTTATGCAAGGTTACCATAGCTGACAAATGGCTGAACTAGGATTCCAATCCAGGCCCGACTTCTCCAAAGCTCATGCCTTTTTTTTTTTAATTGCTGTGAAGTATAATTCAGGAACATAAACTATATAACACATATATCTACAGGCAAAAAAAATGATCACAAATGAATACCTGGGTAATCACCACCCAGATCAAGAAACACATTTCCAGGGCTGGGCATGGTGGCTCACACCTGTAATCCCAGCACTTTGGGAGGCTGAGGCAGAAGGACTGATTGAGCACAGGAGTTTGAGACCCGCCTAGACAACATAGTGAGACCCCATCTCTACACACACACACACACACACACACACACACACACACACACACACAAATCCCTGTATGGTGGTACATGCCTGTAGCCACAGCTACTTGGGAGGCTGAGGCGGAAAGATTAACTGAGCCCAGGAGGTTGAGGCTGTGGTGAGCCATGATCACGCCACGGCACTCCAGCCTGGGTGACAAAGCAAGATCCCAACTCAAAAAAAAAAAAAAGAAAAGAAAAAAGAAACCCATTTCCATCCCTCAGAAGCTCTTTGGTGCCCCTTTTCGCCCCCAGAGGTAACTCTATTCCGACCTCCAACACTATAAATGTCTTATTTCTGAGCTTTATGCGGTTTGTAGTCTTTTGTTATGTGGTTTCTTTCTCTTAATGCTATGCATGGGAGATCCCAGGCATTGGGAGAGGCTGACATTTTTACAGGAGATTGAATCCTTTCCATGGCTGTTGGGCCCTGGGCCCTGTTTTCAGTATTTGCCAACTGTGAACTGTGCTGTTAGGAACATTCACAGAAGCACCTCTTGGGGCACAAGAACACATCTTCTTTTGGGTTTATACCTAGGAGAGAAATGGCTACATCACCAGGCATGCTCATCTTCAAGTGTACTGAACTGCCAACGGTCTTCCAAGTGGTTGTACCAGCGGACACTCCACCAGCCCTGTCTGGGAGCCCCTGCTGCTCCAGGTCCCACTAGCTCTCGGCTCATGCCTCTAGACACAGCATGCTGCCACCAACAAGTTACGCCACACGCTGGCCAAGCACTGCCCCAAGAATGCAGGCGGGGGTGCGGAGCACCAGGAGGAAAAATCCCTCCCCAAAGGGCTTGTTACAAGCACCTGCGATACACTTGGGGCTGTGGTTTAAAGACTAGAGAGGATAAGTGTTAACTGCAAAACATGCTCACCTAAGTCAACAAACACAAGAGGCAGCAAAACTAACGTGTCATGACTGTGCCTCTAAGCACACAGCCCACCCTTGCCAAACAGGGCCTGGCAAGGGGCACGCGTGAAAGAACAGAATGATCTCATGATTGGGATCACAGCTTTGTTTTTTTTTTTGGTTGGGGTTTTTTTGTTGTTGTTGCGAGTTCTCAGTTCTGGCCCTGGTAATTAAAAAACAAACAAACCTGTCTAATCATATCAATCTGGGTGGCCCTGGGGTTGCAGATTTCAGTTAATGTACTAACGTGGTTTGTGTCTTTGGTTCCTGGACACTGTCCCACAGCGCCCTCTGCTGGGAACGAGGGACAGCATGGATCAGAAATCATTCTTCCACACGAAAGACAGGTGGCCTGACATTCTGGCTTTGACCACTTGATCAAAGTCCACCACTTGAAGAGTTCCCAGCTTTTCCTTCTGCACTGGGGACAGTAAGTAGGACACTGGCAGCTCATGAGTGGCCACTTCTCTCTCTACCCGGTCACGTCGACCATCATTTCCCACTGGGACAACCTCTTCCTCCTCCCTGCCCCTGTCCCACCCCTAGTCCATTCTTTCCACAGCAGCCTTAAGTCAGATCACAGCTCTCCTCTGTTCAGAGCCCAGTGACATCTGGCATCATCTCATGGAGGAAGAATCAAGTGAACTGTGGAAGGACACAGCACCAGCCGGGTGCAGTGGCTCAGCCTGTAATCCCAGCGCTTTGGGAGGCCGAGGCGAGTGGATTGCCTGAGCCCACGGGTTGGAGACCCGCCTGGGCAACTTGGTGAGACCTCATCTCTACAATAAATCAAAAAAATTAAGCCGGGCTCCGTGGCTCATCCTGTAATCCCACACCTTGGGAGGCTGAGGTGAGTGAAGCCCGCAGGTTCAAGACCCGCTTGGGCAACTT